CAAATGGGGAAGGGAAGAGTGCTGAGGGGAGGGAGAGTGTCAGACAGGGAGTGGGACAGCAGCTTGCAGTATATGGACATCTGGGATATATTTGACCTCCGCCTCATAGGAATTGGCTTTGTGCTGATTTCTTATATTTGAGGTTATTTGTACAAAGAGGCAGCCAAGTATAGCTATACTTGGGTTTAGAGCCAGAGGGCCTGAGTTCAGGTCTTGATTTTGCCCCTTACCTTTTCAGGTAGTTCCTGACTTTTGACGTATTCCAGTTATGACAAACCACACTCAGGACCATTTGTTTTGGTTTTTTGTTTTGTTTTTTTGATACATCTTATCATTAGTAATATGTACTACATACAATGTTGCAGTGCATAATTTGCTAATGTTATCATCCTCAGATGTTCACTTGCACATGTTCACTGTGTCTGGAACATTGCATCTTCCTGGGAGGAAGTTACAGGAAAATACATACAGAGGATATGGAAAAAAAATTGCTGAGTTATGTGAACACCATCCAAGCATTTGATCAGGATAATATGATGGAAAAGATCGGTGGAAAAATCGTCCATATGGTGAGAACGCTGAATTTAGAACTTGCTATCTCCAATGTGGAACAGCTTATAGATCACAAAGAAGAGGAATTGACAGACCAGGACTTAATGGATTTTGAAGAGAAAAGAAATGCTGCTGAAGAAAGAAATAATGAGGAAGAGGAAGGAGGGAAGTCAAAAAATGTATACAGTGGAAGCATTAGCTGAAGTTTTTCTAAACTAAATTAGGGGCTTCAGTTGCTTGAAAACATGGACCAAATGCTGATGGCTTTGCTAAAGTCGACAGGCAGATTCAGGAAGCAGCGAGATGTTACCGGGAAATATAAGAAGAAAATAAGAAAAGGACCATACGGACAACTGTCACTAATTTTCTGACTAGAAACGCCATCCCCATTCTCCGGGATAATCCAGATGATCCAGAACCTTCCACAAATGGAGTTATTACTGCAACTGACAGAATGCCAACGTCATCCAACTCTTATTCATTGTCAGAGTAAATATTTATGGTTTGTGTATTTTTTTATGTAAGTGTGTATTAAAATATACCTGTAAGTTTATATGTAATGTTTCCAACCCCCCAAAGACAAACATCGGATTTATAAAGATACTAACAATAAAAAGCAACAATAATGAAAACTAAAAAAAAAAAAAAAAGAGGTTCTTGATGTACATCAGAAACGGCTAAGACAGAGTCGTTGGAATGGAATCCTGAGCTTGAGCAAATCCATTTACCTCTCCGGAAAGTGGGGACAGTAGCGCCTTTCAGGGCTTTGTAAGGATCAAATGAAAGAATGTGTATTAGGGCCCTTTGTAAACTAAAAATAAGTTATTTTTTAGAGCCCAAAAGCTGTGTTTGCCACAAATAAGTTACCCTCTGTCATCCAATCTTCTGTCCTCCCATTGAATATAAATAAATGCATTTTTCTCAGCCTGGCAAAAACTAAGGTTAGAATGACCGATTTTTATTGGCTTTTTGGAGTACTTAAAGCACTTAAAGCATTCAGAGGAAATGTAAAGATAAATCATTTAGTTTGGATGGAAGATTCTGTGAAGGTAACAAGAAAACAGACTACTTCTCAAATAACTGAGAGAATAGTGTAAAGAAATAAACCATGATTTCAATATACTCAAAGAGAAGCTGCCAGAAAGATGCAAACGCTTCTTGTGAGCTAGACGTGGACTTTATACTTACCAATTATTTTGGCAGTTACCCTGAAAACTCTGATCAGCTCACTCTCTCCAGCTTTATTTGCTGTACAAATTGAACAAATATTTGACCTTCAGCCACATTTTTTCATTGCACCCTGTTTTTCCAAAGTGCGTGAGTATATGTGCTTGATTTCTTTTTTTTTTCTCATATGGGATGAATAAATGAGTTAATCCACCAATTGAGCTAATTCAGTTGAGTGGAGAAGAAGCAGATCTTATTCAAGATACTTCCTAAGCCTTTGTAAAAATAAAAAATAAAAAAGCCCTCAAAGGAAGAGGAGGAGGGGTTGATTAGCAGGAAGCAAAATATTCCCCTGTGACATTTTTCCCCTTGGTTTTTGCTTTTATTTATTTATTTGCCAATTCAACACTTCTCACATGTGCAATTCGGTGACACCAGTTACATCAATTATATTGTGCAACCATCAACAATATCTGTTGCCAAATTTCCATCACCATAAACAGAAACTTAATGCTTCTTAAATAATTACTCCTCCTTGTCTTTTCTAAACCAATGATTTCATGGAAAATCCTACCGCCTGTACTGTGTGAACTCTAAAGTCTCTCAGCAGGTTTGATCGGTGGACAATACTCATTCAGTCAGCTTCTAGATGCAGCCCCATTTACTCAACTCCTGAAGATTTGGGTTAGCTTGCCAGGAGATTAAAAATCTTAGGGTGCTAAAGTGACATCGAAATTTAATTCCAGTTCACAGAGCTTGTCTCCTCCTATTTCAAAGACCTAAGAGCCTAGAAGGAGTGCTATCATTTTCCTTGCATCTAAGGGAGGAGATGCATTTGGGAGCAAGGAGGTGGTCTGTGGGAGGGAGGAGAGCTGAACACACTCAGTTCTACCCAAAGATTAAGCAATTAACCAATTTAAGGGGAGACAACACTGGCATTTTCAGCCCTAAAATTGCCTTTAAAAAGAGACTCTGAGACTCAAAATAGTAAATGCAGCCTTGAGTATCAGAGTTTAAAAGGATGAAAGGTAAAAAGAAAACAAATTTGCTGAGGAGGGAACCCTTCGTAGGGAGAATGAAACCACAAAGCTGTCTCAAGCACCGCACTGCACTTCTTAACGTAGGCCACAAATTGTTTAAGCCTGTGATCAGACTTAGCCCTCGGGTTCCCATGAGAAGGACTGAATGCCAAAGACTATCTGGGAGGGGTAAGAGTAGAGCAGGCGTTCTGACTTCAGTGCTTCTCCAGCTTGAGTGCAATGCAACGCTGCTCCATTTCGGTACTTAAGGGTTAAAAAAAAAAAAGAGTGCGTGTTTTGGTTTTTTTTTTGTTGTTGTTGTTGTTGTTTTGGGCTACAGCTGGAAGCCATTAACAACTCTGAGGCTATCTCAGTAATCCAGTTAGAGGGTGGGTGGCCTGGCTGAGATTCAGATTCAGATCCGTGTATCTAATCACAGAATCTTAACACTGGGAGGGGCTTTATTTCCACCTCCCATCCAGTGGAGAAATCCCTTTTTCAACTGTTGCAGCCTCTGCTTGCGTACTTCCACCAAGAGCCCATTCACTGCTTCAGGAGGCAGCTTGTTCCTTCAATGGCAACTTCAATTGCTAGAAAGTTCTTCCTGGCAAAATTGTCTCTCTACTAAGTGTATCCTTTAGTTTTAGCTCAGCCTTCTGGTGACATTGCACACGACAGTCCTACTTGTGAAGACAGCTATCACCTGCCTCTGAATTCTTGCCTTCTCATGGCCAAAACATTCGTTTCTTCTAACCACCCCTCACATTTGGTGATTTCCAGACCCCGCCCTGAGCCTGCCTACTCTCTTGAGACTATCTCATGTTTCAGAATCCCTTCTGAAGAGCAGGGCCTAGAACTGAACACATTCCCAGATGAAAGGTGTCATCTAGCGGGGAAATCTTTGCAGTGAAGACACAGCCCTTCCCTGTGGCGCAATGAATTCACTCTTACATGGCCTTTCTCACCATGGTCTTGTGATTCCTACAGAATGATTGGGTGGGACTATGCAGATAAGGTGCAAAATGGTCTTGTGCCATCCCCATGGTGGGTGGAAGCATTATAGCAACACACAAGCCTCCACTAACAGAGGGATAGTACCTGTGCATGAAGTGCGTTGGCTGGGAATTGAATCCAGGTCTCCTGCATGGAAGGAGAGAATTCTACCACTGAACCACCACTACCTTCCTCTCCCCAAGCAAGGGAGGTAGATACAGTTTCAGCTCTAGAAGACTTTGCTTCTGGGTGGTGCCAGTCTGGCAATAACAGTAACAAAGCCAAAAAAGGAAGGCGGAAAGAACTCATAAGCTTCCCCTGAATGCTGAAAGATGTCCATCAAGGTTTGAGGCCTCCCACCTTGACCCCAGATCTAGACCTAGAGGATCCTCTAGGCCCAAGACAAAGGATCACTTTCATTAGATATCTCCCCAGTCCAAAAACTTTCCATTGCATCCCCCCCATCCTCCACAGAACACAAGCACTCAAGCCTCCTTAACCTGGCCCAGCCCTACCAACCCACCATCCTCCCACCAGGCTCCAACACACAGTCCCTACTGCCGCAGGCCAAACTTGTTAGGGTCATTCCTGGCTCCAAGGCCCACGCTCCTGGTATTCACCCTCCTTTGAGGATCCCTAGGTGGTACAAGTGGTTTGTGCTCATCTACTACCTTAAAGGTTGGTGGTTTGAACCCACCCAGTGGTGCTGCAGAAGAAAGGGCTGGTGAACTGCTTCTGTAAAGAACACAGCCAAGAAAACTCTATGGAGCAATTCTACTCTATAACACCTTTTGTCGCCATTAAGTAGAAATTGAAAGTAGTGGGTTTGGTTTTTCTCGGTTTTCTGGAATACTTGTCTTTCCTTCCATAAGATGGCCTGGGAGTTTTCTCTTTTCCTAGGCTAGCTACAGAGCATCTGAAAAACAATTACTCTCCTGCCATTGACTCGAGATTACATTTCTGGCCACTGGAGGTGTGTCATTTCCAAGAGTTCTCTTCTTCAATTAATTGAGTGTCCAAATAAGCACAGGAATCAGCCTTTTGCTTTTGCGCTCAGCAGGTTAAACGGAATGGATGGCCACAGTTGTTCTTTTGGTTTGAGGAATGTCCTAATTACATCTTTGCTTTCATTATATGGAGGGGACCCAAGGTCAGCCCAGACTCTGGCTTTTAGAGATTAAGTAAATGAACAGTTATGACCTAGCAGAGTCACCCCATACATAAGCTGATCCCACGAGGTGTAATTCTGATCTCCTTTTGTATTCCCAGCTGTGCCTCAGATCAATTGTGATGTCAAAGCTGGAAAGATCATCAATCCTGAGTTCATGGCAAAATGTCCAGCAGGATGCCAAGACCCCAAATACCACGTGTACGGCACTGATGTGTATGCATCCTACTCCAGCGTGTGTGGCGCTGCGGTCCACAGGTCAGTACCACTGAGCTACTTCATATCAGCATTCAGGGTGCAGGCAGGAGGCTCCTGGTAGAGGGTTGCCAGGTTTAGCAAACAAAAATTTACACGCTTAACTGAGCATCCTGTGTTTTATCTGACTCCCCTCTTCTGATGGAAGGATCCAGAAGCTGTACCTGGCCTGGATCCTCTTTCACAGCACTCTGTGGAAAAGAGGACTGCCTTCTCTGTGCACTTTGGTGGGGAGGGGAGAATTCTATTCTTTCATTGTCGTGACAAGGAGACCCAAGTTCTCCAGTATGTAAAGCTTTTTTTTTTTCCTATCTGTATGTGCTGATCAAGGAAATTACAGGGTTTGAACCAAGGAAGGTCCATACGTTTGGAAGAAGAAATATCACAGCTATGGCAATGGTGTGGGGACAAATGGGAACAGGGAAAGTGATATGAGGGTGACAGGTGGGACCGTTTGATCGGCTGTTGGTTTGGGATCCAGGAAGGCGGGCAGGAGGCATGACATGCTTTGGATTAAGTCACTGCCTAAATGAAGAGAGGCGAAGCTGACCTTCACAGAATCCTTATGTTTCTTTGCTTTAGGCTTGGAGCCAAAATGCTGGGAAGTATATTTACTTATTATCCTTGATTATAAGGCTAGTATTTGTGTTCCAGGCACTTCACCTATGTTATCTTTATTTTATTCTCACAACAACTCCCCTATGTAGTAGCTACTTTTATCATCCACATTTTAAGGTGAAAGAGGTTGAATAGCTTTTCTAAAGCCACAGTACAAAAAAGTATCAGAGTGGGGACTGGAACCCAAGTGCAGCTGCCTCTAAAGCCTGTGCCCCTAACCACTGCACAGCACTGCCTTGATACATGGCTCCCTAGTCAACACTCAGCTACTGGATACGAGATAAAGTTTCTGAATTTGTCGGGTTTCTGGTACCCTTTTCCTTTACCTACACACCAGTCAGTGAATTTCGGATGTACCTCTGCCAGCAAGAGGGAAGAAGACGTAAATATCAGTCCCTTTCAAAGTAACTAATGTCAGTGGCTTCTCTGAAATTTGGAGAAAGAAGTAAGAAAAAAATTTGTGTAAAATTAGGTTTAAGAATTCCTAGTAGATTCTATTAACCACACTCTTCTTCTCCCCGCTACCACAGAGGGATGATGAGCTAACTGGTTTTTCAGTTGGAGCAGGACTACTAAAGCTCTATTAAAGATAAGTAAGGGAACATTAAAGAAATATGAGAGCAAATGCTATTTCTTAACTTCAAACTATGGAATAAAAATATTTGGCTTTTACCCTGAAATCAGTTTCACGTGAAAAGGAAACAGGTATCCAAATCTACACACACACGTGCACAAATACATATACATGCCTCCACAAGCATGCATTCTCCCACATACTTGTACACATACATGCATGTCAGCCCACATCCTTGCACACACAATGTGCACACCCATCCAGTTCCACCCACACCATCAGCACTCTCCAGTCTGTGTAGACAATCCAGTGGAGAAACTGACATCTGCAGAGGCTGAGCCCATCTTGAGGTTTCCTGTGTTTTTCCAATTTTGTGATCTGAGATGGTTGGCACTTACTTCCTCTGGCACTTGCTGGCTCTCCCTTGCCTTTCCATGTTTCCTATGCAGTACAGAGTCACACAAATAAATTTGACCTTACCAGAGATGTCATCAAAATGACAGTAATCACGCACTGTGATTCTCTCCTTCGAGCATCATGACAACCCCATTGCTATTAGAGTCCCTGTTTGTTAGAAGAGGAACTGAGGCTTAGGGAAGGTAATTAAATTCTTAGTGTGTTGCACAACTGGGATTAGAACTCGTGTTCTGCCTTCCAGCCCAGAGTCCCAGAGACACATTGCATAAGAACTGGGGATCCCCAGCACTGCTTAGAGTACCAAGTGAGGATGGGCGGGGAGGTGGACTTTGGAGCAGTCAGAGTTGGGAAAGGTTTTATGATGGACAGACACATCCTCAGGGAGAAAATAAGAAGGGCATCGACAGGACTCTGCCTCCCAGTGTTGAAGTGGAGGAACTTGGTGGGAAGAATGGAGATGAGGGTAGAGGGGCAGAGGAGAAGAGTTTGAATGTTTCAAAAACAGGATTTGCTACTTAAGCAAATAAATGTCATTGTCACTTCCTGAACCCATGACTGATATAGTGGAAAAGGCTATCTGGAAAGAAGTATCACTCTCCACGGGGAGGACAGACAGAGAAGTCTTACAGGAAAATGGATAGGAATTTTGGATACTATCAGTTTTGTTTTGTTACAAACAGAAAAAGCCTTTTTTCAGAAGGCAGGATTTAAAACGCTGAGGGAAGACAAGAAGCATGAGTAGAAAGCACCTGTCTTAGTCATCTAGTGCTGCTATAACAGAAATACCACAAGTGGATGGCTTTAACGAAGAGAAATATATTCTCTCACAGTCCAGTAGGCTGCAAGTCCTAATTCAGGGCATCAGCTCCAGGGGAAGGCTTTCTGTCTCTGTTGCCTTTGGAGGAAGGTCCTTGTCATCAGTCTTCCCTTGGTCTGGGAGCATCTCAGCGCAGGAACCTCAGGTCCAAAGGACACACTCTGCTCCCAGCACTGCTTTCTTGGTGGTATGAAGTGTCCACGTCTGTCTGCTTGTTCTCTCTTATATATCTCAAAAGAGATTGGCTTAAGACACTATCTAATCTTATAGATTTCATCAATATAACTGCCACTAATTCATTTTATTACATTATAGAATAGGATTTACAACACATAGGGAAATCACATCAGATGACAAAATGGTAAACAATCATACAATACTGGGAATCATGACATAGCCAAGTTGACAGATATTTTTGTGGGACACAATTCAATCCATGACAGTACCTGAGGGACCTACAGTCCTTGTCCTGACAGGACCCCCCTCAGTCAGACCTGAGGACTGGAGAGAGCACACTTTGCTTAGAAATTTAAATTAATGTGGATTAAAGGATTTGATATTCATACAGCATTCCATGCTCAGATGTCTTATAATGGGTGATTCCTTTGATTCTTCCAAACCAAAGGGACAATGAACATATTTGAGGGATCATATTTTGGCTCAGTCTTGTCCTAAACTGATCCCTGTATTTAAAGTGTCACCGAGGACCAGGGAGAGAGGGGCTTTTTCTAAGATGGTGGCAATGAAGAGGCTTTCTCTGTGCAGCATACTCTTGTGGCTAATTTCTGACCAGATGGCCTCCCTCAGAACCACAGCCATTGGAGACCTGCTCATCCCAGTCCCCTGGTACTAGTGTCAGGGAGGAGGTGAGTATCAAGGCCACACTCAACACTGTGCAAGGCGCTCTGAGGAATGCAAAGAAATGGAACTGTTTGTGCTCTGTCAGGACATAAATGAAGTGCCTACATCTGAGTGAGGGACAAATGAGATAATTTTTACATAAATTCTCCAAATTCCCATGGCTCTGAGCCCCCACTTGCCAGATGAATGAAACCACAGCCTCTCTCAGGTTCTTTCCCACCTCTGGCATCTCCTACCTAGGAAGGCCCCAAGGGAGAGTCTCCCGTGCACTCCATCTCCTGTAGTTCACCGCCCACTGACCTCCCAGAATCTACTCTTTTCCAGGATGATGTCTGGGAAGATCCATGTCATCCAGTCAAATCTACCCACAAAATGAGGTTCACTCTCTTCCCCAACAGAAAAATCTCAGAGAAACACCGTAATTCTACATCTATCCATTGTTCAAAGTCTGGGTTTTCAGGCTTATGCAACCCTCACAAGGGGTACCAGCTGCCCAGTCCAGCTTGAAAGTTCCCTGGGCCTCCCATTCCGTTTAAGCAGCCTGAGGGGAGTTCATCGTGGCCCACCCTTCCCCATCTGACTGGCAGCTACAGTGCCTCTTTCCATGACTGTTAAACAAGAGTGCAGACACACATACATGCATACACACACACAAACATCTCCACAAGTGAAATTTACAGGTACAAGGGAATATCAATGCAAGGGCAGAATAATTTCCTGAAGAAAAGAAAAGTTACTTCCATTTTCCCCATTAATTGTAAGTAAAGGGACTGTGAGGTAATTTTATTATTATTTTTTAATTAGAATGTTCAGCCTAGCCCAGGGGTGTGCTGATAAATGTTTAACAACCAGCTCTCCAAAAAGGAGGGGCAGTGGGTCCTGATTTGCCAACTTCTGTTATAAACATTCAATTTTAAGCTAGCAATGTGAAGTCAACTGCTTACACAATTCTAAAAGTTTAACCACTGGCTCTGGCAAGCTGGTGTGAGCAGCTCCCGCACACCACCTGAAGGCCTTCTTACACTAAAACATAAAATACGGTCCTTTCCATGAGAAAACTCCCCCATCTAGTTGGGAGACAATTGACTCAAGAAGCCTTTAGGAAATAGTACAAGACATAGCAAAATCAAAGTATCCTTTGAGAACAGAAGATACTCTAGCATTAGAGAGGGAGGTGGCAGAGTACTGTCAGAGTCTCTGTGGGAAGGAGCTGTTGGAATCTGAGCTGCCCTTGATGGCAGCACAGGCTTTGTCAGGCAGGAGAGGGAGCCGGGAGTCCAGGTGAAGTGCAGCCTGGGCAGAGAAATGTAAGTGGGAATGGTGTGGTTTTTCAGGGGAGTGGGACCAGGCTGACTGCAGGTGGAAAGAGTGCAGGTGGCCCAACTATGGCGAGCCCCCGTTAGAGAGAGGGCAAAGTTGTAAAGACTCCAGGGAGGGATGCGGAGTTGGCATTGGAGGTGCCTGTGCTTTTGAACCATGAAAGGCATCTGTGACTGAGTGGGACAAACCCAGGATTCAAGGTCAGTTGGACCTAGGTTCAAATCCCTGTCTTGCAATTTATTAGCTACAAAGTCTTGAGCAAATCACTCAGTCTCTCTAAGCATGTTTCTACAAAATGGAAATGACAACAATCCGTCCACCCCACAACTCAGCGATTTGCTGGGAGGACCCTTCAAAATACTGTATGTGGGAATGATTTTAAAGCAATTAAGTGTTTTATATGTCAATTCTTATTATCACTGTCTTTCCTTCTGGGTCATTGGGAAGTTGAGTGTTGAAGTTTGTTGACTCACCATGAAGGTGGGAAGGCAGGAAATAGCAACTCTCATTCCTGGCAGGGCAGAGGGTGTTGATACATACTTTTTTAGCCCCTGGGCCACAAATTAGAGAGACCCAAAGGAGCCATTTTAGGCTCTGGGGTAATGAAATGACAAGATGAACATGATATTTAGGCATCAGAAAGGAGCCCCTGACAACATAGATGGAGAGAAGTAGATAAATCTCTGCAGGATACATCATATCAAGATGTGAAACCTTGTAAAATGCCGAAAATTAAAGAAACAATTTCCATTCTTTGAGGGGCTCTTTTTAATGAGTTTAATTTAGCTGTATACTTCCCTCCTTGGCCCCAAATAAAAGGAATAAAAATACTTTGCTTTTAAATTTTTCATACCGTTCTTTGAAATATCTAGAGTCATTGTGTGACTTCACAAAACCAATTGGAAATTGTCAAGAGAACTGTTTTACTTAAAAGAACTAGTGAGGATTCCTAAAACAGTTAAACATAGACCTACCACATGACCCAGCAATTCCACTCCTAGGCATACACTCAAAACACTTGAAAGCAGGGACTCAAACAGAAAACCTGTACACCAATGTTCATTGCAGCACTAGTCACAATAGCCAAAATGAGGAAAGAACCCAAATGTCTAGTAAACAGAGTGTGGTATATCAATACAATGGAATGTTATTTAGCCATAAAGAGGAATGAAGTTCTGATACATACTACAACATGGATGAATCTTGAAAACATGCTAAGTGAAATAAGTCAGACACAAAAGGACATATATTGTATGATCCCACTTACGTGAGATATCCAGAATAGGCAAATGCACAGAAACCAAAGTTTATTAGTGGTTACCCGGGCAGAAGGGATGGGAAAATGGAAGGCTATTTCTTAAGAGGTGCAGAGTTTCTGTTAAGGGTGATGAAAAACTGGAAACAGATAGTGGTGATGGTTGCACAACATGATGAATATAATTTATGTCACTGAACTGTACATGTAAAAATGGTTGAAATGGCAAATGGTTTTGGTATATATATTTTGCCACAATAAAAATATTTTTTAAATGAAATTCCTAAGTTAAAAAAAAAAAACTAGTGTGGATAAGGAAACCAAGGAAAGGAAATTTGAAACACGGTGGCAGAGAGATTCCTTACTGACAAAACAATCAAGTCATTAATAAGAAATAGAGGATACTTTACCTGGGAGCCCAAATGGCAGGCTGTGTAATGGAGGCCCCATTCCTGGGAGCTGGGCTGCAGTCATGGTGAACCTTTCCTTAATCTCACGGCTTCCATTATCTCTAGATAAAGATAAAGGCTGGTTTAATGATCTATTGATCATATCAAACAATATTTTTCTGTTCATTCTTCAAAAATTATTTTTTTTCTCTTCATAGCGGCGTGCTTGATAATTCAGGAGGGAAAATACTTGTTCGGAAAGTTGCTGGACAGCCTGGTTATAAAGGGAGTTATTCCAATGGTGTCCAGTCGTTATCTCTACCACGATGGAGAGAGTCCTTCATCGTCTCAGGTATTCCCACACTCTGGAGAAATGCACTAAATGCGGTTCGAGTTAAGTGGCCTCAAAGGGAGAAATGTGTTCTTTTCAATGTGCTGATAGTTTTTGTTTATGATTCATCTCATTGTATAAAAATTGAAAGCATTAGCTCTTCTGATAATTAGGATCATGGAACAATGAATTATAATTATCAGCGATAAATCGCCACAAAATCAAACCTGAAAATGTTAACAGGCTCCAATTGCTCATTTTAAACACATTGCAGTTATAAACTCAAACAAGCTTTTAAATAAGTGAGTTATATTTTAAAACCTGGGCTGTTGAATAGTCCTCCAGTTAGGCCAAATGTCTCTCATATCTACAAAGCTATTCCCTGAGATTTCCAGTAAATGACTAGATAGGGACATATGCTCTTCAAGAACTGAGCTGCAACTTTAATTTAGATTTTTTACATTTTTTATTTATTTAATTCTGTTTCACTCTTCAGTCACTTCTCCTTATCTAGCACCATAGGAATTTGATAGATAATCATATTTCATGTTTTTTTTTTCCTTCTTCCAAAGAGGTACTGTCAATGAGCTAATGACTAGTATAATTTTACAGTGAACAGATAACCAAGTATTTTTGTCCTGTCATGACCCACCTTCCCTTTTTTATCTGTTTTTGAAAATTTCCCCCAACCAACCTTTAATTTGGAAAATTTTTTAATTTACAGAAAAATTAAAAGACTAGTACTATGAATTCCCTTCACCTACATTCACCAGTTGTTAATATTTAGCTACATTTGCTTTATGTATCTCTCTATAGTTTATCCTGAACTATGTGAAAATAAACTGCAGACATCATGATACTTTACCCTTAAATACTTTAGCACACATCTTTTAAGAAAGTTTTCCTAAATAACTGCAATACAATACCAGTTTTGCACTGTAAAAATTAACATAAATATAGTAACAGTATCTAATATACAGTTCTTACTCAATCGTGGTCAAATTATCCCCCAAGTATTCTTTTTTTCTTTCTTTTTTTTAAATTGTACTGTAGATGAAGGTTTACAGAACAAAATAACTTCTTATTAAACAGTTAGGACACATGTTGCTTCATGACATTGGGTAACAACCCCAAGACATGTCAACACTCTCCCTTCTCAACCCTGGGTTCCCTATGACCAGCTTTCCTATCCCCTCCTGCCTTCTAGTCTTTGTCCCTGGGCTGCTGTGCCCCTTTAGTCTTGTTTTGTTTTATGGGCGCATCTAATATTTGGATGGAGGGTGAAGCTCAAGAGTGACTTCATTACAGAGCTAAAAGGATGTCCAGGGGCCATACCCTTGGGGTTTCTCCAGTCTCTGTCAGGCCAGTAAGTCTGGTCTTTTTTTTGTGAGTTAGAATTTTGTTCTACATATTTCTTCAGCTCTGTCCAGGAGCCTCTATTGTGATTCCAGTCAGAGCAGTCAGTGGTGGTAGCTGGGCACCATCTAGTTGTGCTGGACTCAGTCTGGTGGAGGCTGTAGTAGTTGTGGTCCATTAGTCTTTGGACTAATCTTTCCCTTGTATCTTTAGTTTTCTTCATTCCTCCTTGCTCCCGAAGGGGTGAGACCAGCGAAATATTTTAGATGGCTACTCACAGGCTTTTAAGACCCCAGACGCTACTCATCAAAGTAGAATGTAGAACATTTTCTTTATAAACTATGTTATACCAACTGAGCTAGATGTTCCCCCAAGACCATGGTCCCCACAGCCCTCAGCCCAGCAATTCAGTCCCTCAGGGAGTTTGGATGTGTCTATGGAGCTTCCGAGTCCTTGCCTGGTGCAAGTAGTGCTGCCCACCCCAGTACTGTGTACTGTCTTATCCTTCACCAAACTTACCATTTCTCTATTGTCTACCTTGTGTTTTTCCATCCCCACCACTCCCCTTCCTCATAACCATCAAAAATGGTTTTTTTGTGTGTAAACCTCTTCATGAATTTCATAGTAGTGGTCTCATATAATGTTTGTCTTTTTGTGATTTACTTATTTCACTCAGCATGATGCCCTCCAGATTCATCCATGTTGTGAGATGCTTCACAGATTCATCATTGTTCTTCATCGTTGCAAAGTACTCCATTGTGTATATGTACCATAGTTTATTTATCCATTCATCTGTTGATGGGCAGGGTTGTTTCCATCTTTTTGCTATTGTAAGCAATGCTCTAATGAACATGGGTGTGCATATGTCTATTCGTGTGACGACTCTTATTTCTCTAGGATATATTCCTAGGAGTGGGATTGCTGGATCATATAGTATTTCTATTTCTAGCTTTCTAAGGAAGAGCCATATCGTTTTCCAAAATGGTTGTATCATTTTGCATTCCCACCAGCAGTGCATAAGGTTCCAATCTCCCCGCAGCCTCTCCAACATTTGTTATTTTCTGTTTTTTTGATTCTTGCCAGAAATGTCGGGGTGAAATGGTATCTCATTGTGGTTTTGATTATCAGTTCTCTAATGGCTAGTGATCGCTAGCATTTCCTCATGTGTCCGTTAGCCTCTTTAATGTCTTCTTTAGTGAAGTGTCTGTTCATTTCCTTTGCCCATTTTTTAATTGGATTTTTTGTCTTTTTGTTGTAGAGGTGTTGGATTTTCCTGTAGATTTTAGAGATAAGACCTTTGTTGGATTTGTAATAGCCAAAAAGTTTTTCCTAGTCTGTAGGTTCTCTTTTTACTCTTTTGGTGAAGTCTTTTGATGAGCATAAGTATTTAATTTTTAGAAGATCCCAGTAATCTAGCTTATCTTCTGGAGTTTGTGTGTTGTTAGTTATGGTTTGTACCCTTTTAATGCCGTGTATTAGGACCTCTAGCATTGATCCTATTTTTTCTTCTATGATCTTTATAGTTTTGGGTTTTATATTTAGGTCTTTGATCCATTTTGAATTAGTTTTTGTGTATGGTATGAGGTATGGGTCCTGTTTCATTTTTTTTGCAGATGGACATCCAGTTTTGCCAGCACCAATTTTTAAAAAGACTGTCTTTTCCCCATTTGATGGACTTTGGGCTCTTGTTGAAGATCAGGTGACCATAGGTGGATGGATTTACATCTGC